CCGGCCGCGGCTGCAGCTCTCCCGGTAAGCGGAAGCAGCAGCCCCCGACCTGCCCGGGGTATCTCCCTCTCCGTGCGGGAGGACACGGCCCGGCGGCTCCCTGGGCGATGAGAGGGTCTGTACCCACCTCATGCAGGGTTTGAACCTTTTAGCAGCTTGTCTTTTCACCATGCTGACCTAACGTGGTTTTGTGAAAATATAACAGGGTAAGGGTGTGCAGCAGCAGCAGCTGAAAACTCCAGTGGAAAAGGATCGCACTGAGCTCTTCGTGAAAGTCAGAGGAGTCGTTGGCAGTTTATTTTGTGATAGGTTTGTTATGGAGCACGAGGTAGGGTTAGTAATTTAGACTCCTGAAATATTTATAATGCTCCAATGGCACAAGTGGATGTAGTTTAAATGTTCTTTGATAGTGGAGTGTGTTTGGAAGGCACTTCTGCTCATGCTGCAGTGAGGGGCAGAGCACTGTCAGTCTGCACAGCTGTGGTTTGAGTGGGTTTTGGTTCAAAGTGAACCTTTTAGGAAAGGTCTCTTGGGAGAGTTCTGTTCCCTTGTAACGCACTCATCTTCAGCAGTGGCTGATGCAGTGCTGTCCTAGAGCCTTTCTCAGTTACCAAGCCCAAAATGTACATCTTGGGAGGCAAGAACATGTCATCTGAGCTGGTGTTGTTTCTCTGACACATCCTCTGGAGCCTCCTCAGCCAAAGGAGCAGCACTGATAAATGTCATTCTTTGGGGAGGTTAGTGCTGTAGTTCTGGAAGAGAAATGAGTCTAAACTTCTGTTCTTCTTAGCAGATCTGAAGACTTTTGAAGTCCACTAAGAGCTTTGCAAGTGCCACAGTCCTTTTTGGGGTGTTTACATGCTGATCTTGAGCTGCAGAATAAAACTTTCATGGCATTTATAAACTCTTCCAAAATAACTTCTGCTGCTTTGTTGATGTAGAGAATTGTGGACGTGATGTTTCCTCCTGGTGTGTGATCACAGGGACAACATCAGCTTGGGTGAAAACTTTCTCAGTGAGAAGGCAATGAAATGCCTGATTGAGTATCTGAGATATGTAATTGAGGATCTGTGTTACTCTGATTAAAGGACTTTTGGTCAGAGAGGCAAATCAGCGCTAAATACCCAAGAGAGATGCTGGGAAGGAGAGAAGGAACCTTTCATCTGGGCTGTACATAAAACACTGGTTTGTGTGATCTCCATTTTTAAATTGGGCTTTTAGAGAAGAAAAGCAGCACTTGAAGGCTGAGGATAAAACTCTGTAGACACATGAAGTCCAAAAACACACAAGCATCACTGTGCTTGGGGTGAGCTGTTGTGTGAGAGGATATTGCACTGGGTAAACATTAAAACTGTTTTTAAATGAAATCATAGCAAGGATCATAAAGCTACTGACATGTAGCAAACTGCAAACCAAGAGGGAAATATTTTTAGGCATTAAAATAAAGGTCTGGAAAGCTGAGGATGGAGAATAGATTGAGAAATCAAACTCTAGCAGTTGAAGCATCAGCCAAACGCTCGAGGGCAGGTTATGAAACTGCTGTCAATGGAACAGCCACTGACATGCTCATCCCTGGGGATATCTTGGGAGTAATGTGCTGTCCCACTGGCTGGCTGACCTCAGAAGGTTTACCTTGTTTATTGTATGCTGTGAACAGTTTGGGTTTGTTCATTCCCGTGCACTCCAAGATGTGAATTAAAGCTCTGCCATGTCACGTGCTGCTTTGGCGTGTGACCCTCTGTGAATGGGGTTGGCAGCTGGAGATCTCACACCCCCTCAGATCATCATGTTCTGTGGTTCCCTCTGGCTTCACACAGGCACCACACATCCTCTTTTTGGAGGGAAGTGAAAGTAAACTCCTGTAGTGAAACTTTACCCTCTAAAATTGAGTCTTGTCCTGGATAGGAGTTTGTTTTGTCTTTCTGTTAATGACATTCCTTGTTGTGCTCCAAGCTGCAGGGACAGAAGCTGCCTGTGCGTAAAGGGTTGGGAGCATGAAGCAGGAGTTTGTATTGCCACTAGTAAGTAGGTAATTAGGGACAAACTGAGTAGTTGGTAAGAAGGAACAGAGGTATTTAAACTGAAAATAGGCTTATGGAGGACTCATGTGAAACTCAGGAATCAGTGCTGATAGTTAAGAGTCTGTTTGATGAAATAGAGGCATAATTTTGGAAAGATCAGGGTTTGAAATCCTGTGTAGAGGTTGCTTTGTTACCTCAGACATGCAGATTCTCTCAGTGATTTCCCTCCTGCCCATCAGCTCCCAGTTATGTAAAGGCTGGTTATTCTCTGCTCTCAGCTGCATCAGGCTGCAGGAGGTCAGTTTGTACAGAATCCACCTCTTTTCCTGGACACTTAAACCTCCCTGTCAGGCAATGTGCTACATGGCAGCTTAAATTTTAAACCCCGAGTCGCCAATGTGCAGCCCTGCAGCATTTCTCCTCCTGGCAGCAGGCAGTGCTGCAGCCAGCGCTGGGCAGGGCAATTATGTAACCGGAGCCTGGAGTTTCCCTTTAAAATATTTAAAATCCTTAGGTTTGAATGGGAAGGGTTTGGGGTTGGTTGTTTTTTTGTTTTTTTTTTTTATCTGCTCGTGTTTTGTGATGTAAATGTGTGACCGTGCTGGGCTGTGAGTTGTGGTTAGGTGTGGAAGGGCTCACAGTGGGTGTTCAGAGATGACCTATTTGTAGTAATAATCTTCGCCTGGAGCAGCCAGAGAAGGTTTTTGCTTCGTAGATATGTTCTTCAATATCACCACTGGGTTATCCTGTTTATGTATGTACTGCTTGGGTTTCTTTAGTTTTGTTTTAAACAGATCTCATTCGCTTCCTTTCAAAAATAATAACATTTTCCTTAAAAAACATACCCCAAAACACTTTTCCATCACAACTTTCTACACTCTTATCTCCCCATCAGTCACTTGCCTGAGGTTTGATGATGGTGAAACAATATTTGTGAGAGAATTAACTATTTGCAGTGTGTTTCCAGAACATTTCTGTGCTATCCATCATGACTGAGGAGTTGTGGGCTGGCTCTGGCTTTGTGGAGCTGATTCCATGCACATCTCTTGTGTTTGTGCTGCTCTTCCTGTAATGTCAGGGAGATGTTGTTTTGGGCTGTGTGATTTCTGGTTCCTGGAGAGCATCTGCCAGTGTCCTACACTTAAACCACACTTTTTTCCCATTCTTCCCAGTTCATTCTGTTTATTAAAGTAACCCTGAACGTAGCTCGGTTTTAACCCTATAGACAGCAAACATCTTCCTCTGTGGTAATGTTAACAGACTATTCACAGATTATAAGGTTTTGCTTTTGCAAATAAACTAACAAAAAAAGCTTTGAAAACCTCTGTCAGTTACTGGATGTGCAAATTTAAGGGAGAGATCAATTTTAATAAAATCATGGCTTACATCTGCCTCTGATACTTGCTGAAGTTGGGAATTTTCTGTCCCTTCTCAGGTAAATGCCATTAGTCACCCAAAATAGCATTAACATTTTCCCTTGTATTTTACAGGGAAAGGCAGAGAACAAGCAAAGACCACAGATGTGAAAGCAATTAAAAGTAAGATCAATATTTTTGTCTGTAAATTCAGATCTCTCCTATCATCTGCCATTTTTATCTCACCCAGCAGGATCATTTCCTTATGGCTGAACACAGATTTGACCTGTGCATCAAACCCAAATCAAACCCTAAAACTTCATTCTGTTCCTGAGTATTTATAGAACTAATCTTTCCTAGTCATTTGCTGAATCTGTAGGTGCAGAAGGTTATTAAATTATGTCAGGCATGAGCTTTAATTCAAAGTGATCAGGCAATTCGGTCACCTTGCACACGATGATTGTTCTTTAGCTACAGCAAATTGCTCCTGAAGTTTCTTGCTCACTCACAGTGTCCTTTGCAGTTTGGAAAATGCAGCTTTGCAAAAGAGGCTGCAGGGTCTGATTTAACTTGGTCTGATGTGGTTTGTGAGGCTGAAGATCTGAATCCTGCTTGGAATAAATAGCTGTGCTGCTGGTACAGAAAGTCTTGATGGAAAGAAAGTTTGTAAACTGTGGGATAACAAGTTTGCTTATCCTGTCAGTTTTTCTTGCAAAAGGAGATGAGGTAAATGCGTGAATCTACTCTGTTACTTTTGTACCCTCAGACAAAATCCTGTTCCTGTACTTGTTAGTGTGTTGTCTGCACATCAAGAGAAAATTAAAGGCTTTTTTCACCTTCAAGTCAAATAAGGGAACAGTAAGTTGCATCCAAGTCATAGTACACCTCATGATTCCAGTGCAGCTGCACTTCCCAATGACCAGCTGACAGAGTTTACCAGGAACAGGCTCCAGTTTGGTGACCCTGTAAACAAAAATCAGTTTGGAATTGTTTGTACTGCACATTGTGAGCTGCTGCAGACAGAGAGCAGCACCTTTCCAGCCTGGCAAGCAGCTGCTCCACAGTCTGTGTGATGTTCAGTTAGCAATGTCCTGAGGGCTTGGAATGGGTGTTTGACCCTTAGATAAAGTAGAATAATTTTTTTCTCAGATTCAGATTTTTAGATTATGAATTGACAAAGGCCTGAAGTGTTATGAGGAGTGTGGCTCTGATTCCACATGATTCTCTTCCACCAAGGTGTCCCATTCCTGCCATCCCTTGGCCTTGGGAAAAATGTATTTTCTCCATGATTGCTGGTATGAAATACCAAAGGCTTTGTCAGAAGCAGTAAGTAGTGTCTTGGTGTCAAAACACTGCAATGACTTAAACATCTTAACTCTCCTATACCACTGAGGTATCTGTTGCTGTGACATGCAAGTGTGAAATTGTCAACTTCTGTCATCATGTGTCATAAAATAGTGAATAAAAAGAAAGTGATGCAGCATGAAAGTCATAAAACCCAAGTTGCTTGACACCTTGATGAAACACATCACTGGGAAATAGTGTGCTGAGATAATGTGTCATCTGACATGCTTTATTTTTGAGTCAGAGGTGTAAGATGTCCCTGCGTGACATCCTAATCTAATGCAACTTCCTGAGAGCTTTGGAAACTGCTGTATATGTGTTTTGGGGTTGTTTTTCTTCAGCTTTGTCATCAATTAACAATTAGTTGATGCTTTTTCACTGGCAGAGGTTTGTGTGAGGAAGTTGTTCTTTGTTTTCTTTGGGTTCCAATAGTCAGCTGTGTCCTAAAACAGCCGGAGGGGGTTAAGCTTATAACTTGGGTTTCATCAGAGGCATTTCCTTATTGCTTTTTTCCTCCTAAAACCAACTAGAGGCAGCAAAAGTATTTTGCAAATTCTTCTTGTTAAAACTAACAGACAGCTTTGTAGTTCAGGGGTGTGTAACACATTTGAGCCTTGAAAAAAGCATGGAAATGGATTGGGAAGAGCACTGGAACGAAACTGGGTTGTTGACAGAGTATTAAGCTGTTACGATGTGGTTATCAGGGAAGCAGGAAGACTCAGGAATATTTCATGTGTAAACTTAGACTTGGCATCTCTTCATTAGCTGCTGAGTAAGGAAAAGAGAGGTGGGTGGAAGTGAGTTTATTCTTGCTATAATAAAACTTGTGGTCTTTCCTCTTGGTCCAAGATGACACAGTGGTACAGTGAGCTTTGGATAAGATTGACTCTTGCCAGCTCCATGGGGTGTTTGGGGTACTGTTTAGAAGAGGTCTTGGGGTCTTTGTGTTTTAATGATTCCTATCTTGATTCCAGCTCCAATCCCAGTACATTCCCCTCAGAGAAGCACTAGAAATCATGCCTTGCTGGAGGCTGCAGGACCAAGCCATGTGGCCATCAATGCCATCTCTGCCAACATGGACTCTTTTTCTAGCAGCCGAACAGCTGCCCTCAAGAAGCAGCCAAGTCACATGGAAGCTGCTCATTTTGGAGACTTAGGTAAGGCTTCATCAGCTGTATGATCCCACTCCTGACAGCTCACTTTGCCTGGAGAGGGGAAGGTTGTATGGGGACCTCATAGCAACTTGGCAGTATCTGAAGGGCCTGCAGGGAAGCCGTAGAGGGATTTTTGGTTAGGAACTGTAGTGATAAGATAAGGAGTAATGGGTGTAAACTGAAAGAGGGGAAGTTTAGATTAGATATCAGGAAGTTTTCCCCGTGAGGGTGGTAAGACACTGGCACAGGTTGTCCAGGGAGGCTGTGGCTGTCCCAAGCCTGGCAGTGTTTAAAGCCAGGTTGGATGAGGACTTGAGCAACCTGTTCTGGTGGGAGGTGTCCCTGCCCAGGGTTGGGGTTTGGGACTAGATGTTCTCTAAGGTCCATTCCAACCCCTCTGATACTATGATTAAAATGTCAACATTTCTTGTATTCTGTGTGTCTGACTGATACACTCACAGGCCTTTGGATTTCAGGCAAATAGGCAGTAACTGTGGCTGCTGTTACAGTAGCATCTGTGTTTCCCTGGAAAGGTTTTGAATAGGGACAGATATGTTTGTTAGAATGGTTCCTTTGTGCACCACTGTTACATTGGAATTGCCTCTTCACAGCTGCATTGCAGGACACTTCTGCATCCATCACTCACCTCTGTAGTACAATATGGAGTCACTCCCTTTCTGCTTTCCTTTAGGCAGATCGTGTCTGAATTATCAGGCTCAAGAGACCAAATCAAGCCTTTCCAAGACCCTTGAACAAGTCCTGCAGGACAGTGTAGCTCTCCCTTACTTCATCCAATTTATGGAACTGCGCAGGATGGAGCACTTGGTGAAGTTCTGGTTGGAGGCCGAAAGCTTCCACTCCACGACGTGGTCCCGTATCCGTGCACACAGCCTGAACACAGTGAAGCAGAGTTCCTTGGCAGAGCCAGTGTCACCCTCCAAACAGCAGGAAATGGCATCCTCTCCTCCGACTGGATTGCTTGAGGAGAGGCTGGAGGAGGAGTCTGGCACAGTCAGGCTGCTCCAGACCAAGCCAACAGCCTCGGACAGGAGTGACAGAAGTAGCAACAGCCAGAACCACCTGCTCTTGGGTCAGGAGAGCCACAACACTAGTGTGCTTTGCCTAAGAAAATCAGAGACAGGGACTCATTCTTTTCCAGCTGATCAGCAAGAATCTTCCAAGCTTTCAGTATCCAATAGGAACAGCCCTTCCTCTGCACTAAAGGACTTGTCAGGAAAACTCATGAAAAGTAAGTGCCAGTGTTCCCTTTCATTGAAAAAATGGGAAATGGGGAGTACAGGTAAACACCTGCCTTGGTTCTCTTGTGTTCATAGCAAGTAGGATGTGATGTTGCAAGCAAGAAAAGAATTCTGTGTATCGCGTCTGTTGACTTGCTGTATCAGCTCCTGCTCAGTTTGGGCTGTGTATTGTCTGATTTGTTAAAAAATAAATTTGCTGCTGAACAGACTTGGAAATCATTATGTACTCAATAAGCTTAGGTTGCTTCTATTCTTACATGTGTAATCATAAGAAATGAAGATGAACATTGCAATGTCCTGTTCTTCCCTCACCCATCCCATCCCAACTTAAAAGACTTGCAGAAGATGTTGGATGTTGGGGCTGAGAATTGGTAATTAACTTTCCACAGAAGATAAATATCCTATACCATGTAAGGAATGGTTACAAGAGACTTGTAGAGATTTGTGTGGGGAATGTACTGTTTTTCTTCTTGGATTTATTTGATAGAGTTCTTCCCCTTGTAACTGATCTGTTGTCATTTGGATTCCTCCTCTTCAGAGGCTGCTGGAAGTAAGGATGAAATTAAACTATTTGCTTTTGGTAGCAAGTTACTTGCACAGTGACCTGTTTATCTGCTTTGCATCTCCTCAGTCCTCCCTCATTTGTGCAAGTCTACAGGCAAAAAGGAAACACTTTCTTCATAGAGGTTCCTTTTGTTTGCCCAACTGTTTCCTTGTGTTGCATCCCTTTCTTTTGCTGTTTGTCTGTCTTACTCAGTTATTTATCATGTGCCTCCACAATACGTAACAGCAGCCCCAAAGTCACTTAAACAAGGGAAATGGTATTTCAGTCATGAAAGCTCCTCTGCTTTCTGATGTCTAAAATGAATTTGCAACCATTGGGGTCCTTTTTGAGGAGTCCGGAGTATAATTTCTTTCTCTCTTCCAGAGAAGAGTCCCAGCTCCTGAAAAATGATGTGTAAAACTCACATTTTGTTCTGAGCCATCCCACGTTGAGATTCTTTTTTTGCTTTAATTCCTTTATAGTGCAAGTGTTTTATATTGTCTATGATGAGAGCTAGAAGTTGGGAACTTCACTGTGGTGCTTGCCAGAAAGGTGTTACTGCTGGGACTGAGGTGTGCAGCTGAGGAAGAGGGTTCTGCCTTGCCTGGTAGTTAGGAATTTGGAGCTACATTGCTTTATTCCATCTGAGTCCATGCTGGGCATGATGTGACCTGACTGGAGACAACTCACTGCAGCTTCTCAGTAGCAGAGTATCCAGTAGTGGATTGAAAGCTTCATGGAGGAAACCTGATGAAAATGAGGCACTTGCTTTTCTGAAGGGCAAACATTTGTTATTCAGTCCTTGTTTTAGACTTATGCCAAGGAATTCAGAGTTTGATTGTGTATTTCTTCCCCACAGGTATAGAACGGGATGCAGTTAGTACTTTTACCAAATATATTTCTCCAGATGCTGCTAAACCAATCCCTATTACAGAAGCTATGAGAAATGACATAGTTGGTAAGAATGAATACTGTCTACTCCTTTCAGAGCTGCTCCTTCCCCATAAAAATGTGTCTTTAATGTCACACACACTTGTATTTCTTTTCGTGTCAAGTCAGTTGTAAATAGATGGTAGATTACAACTCTTAGTGGATCTAACCTTCAGCAGTGCTCTCAGAAGAACTTCCAGAGGTTTTGCTTAAATGAGTGAAAAAGTTCCTGGTGGTTATGGAGGGAATCCAGATTTGAGTCTCAGTCAAACATTTTAGTCATAGTATTATCATCCAGCCAAATGTAGGACTTTGAAAGCTCTTTGCTCAGTCAGAACCAGCTGATTCTAGTGGACCTGAACTGTAATTTTTCATTCACTAGTAATTGCTCATGTCTTTCAGCCAAATCCACATTAAAATTAACCCATTCTTTCTTTGCAGCAAAGATTTGTGGGGAAGATGGACAAGTGGATCCCAACTGTTTTGTTACAGCACAGTCAATAGTGTTTAATGCAATGGAACAAGAGTAAGTTGGAATGGTTTGGATTCTCATGTCTGTCCTTTTGCTAAAGTTTGTTTCAAATATTCCTGGAGGCATAACCATGAAAGGATTTTTTTGTGCAGTCTTCTGTATTTGAAGCTGCTCAGATCTCCTCCTCCAAATCCAAGTGCTCACTTGCTGAAGTTGGCTGTGCACACCGTGTTCTTTATTTCTTGTGCCATTTGTAAACCTGCCCTGTTTCTTGCTTGATTTGCTTTGATCTGACTAAAAGTATCAGACTTCTGGGCAAGAGCTAATTGATTCTTAGGGTGCCCTGGATACTGCTGACCCCTAACACCCAATTGTCCCTCTCTGTGCAGGCACTTTAGTGAGTTTCTGCGAAGTCACCATTTCTGTAAATACCAGATTGAGGTGCTGACTAGTGGGACTGTGTATCTGGCTGACATCCTGTTCTGTGAATCAGCTCTGTTCTATTTCTCTGAGGTGAGTGTCAGGGTTTGGGTTTGCTCTTCTATCCCTTTCTGTCAAATGAACACATCTGTTCATTCCTTAATGGCTTTAGATTAGATATTAGGAAGAAATCCTTTCCTGTGAGGGTGGTGAGGCACTGGCACAGGTTGCCCAGAGAAACTGTGGTTGCTCCATCCCTGGAAGTGTTCCAGGCCAGGTTGGATGGGGCTTGGAGCAACCTGGGCTGGTGGAAGGTGTCCCAGCACATGGCATTGGGATTGGCATGAGAAGATACTTAAGGTCCTTCCAACCCAAACCATTCTGTGATTCCATGCTTCTAAATAGAACTAAAGGCCTGAGGTGTATCTTTTTCTGGGAGAAAATGCATTAAACTCTTTCCTGCCCAAATGTGGAACTAATTGAAATATTCCAACCTATCCACTGTATTGTGGAGTGAGTATTTGTGCATGTCTTCTCTAGTTAGGGAGTACTCCTAAGTGTCTCTTTGCTTTGTAGAAGCTTTGACATTGTCATCTTGATCTTGCAAACTGAAGTAGTGACTTTGAAAGCCTTAACCATTCTTACAGATAACAAAACATTCTCCAGCATTATGTAGAGAGGGCACCAGGTTGGGGTGTGATAGGTTCAGTGTTTGATTTTACAGTCTCAGGGTCCTGTACCTTTAGGGAATCAGCTTAGAAATACTGGTCCTGACAGTCTGACAAGCTGATATAGTTTGAAACAGCAGGTTGGGAAGCTGAGACAATGTGCTGAGTTCAGTGTAAGCTCAGCATAGCTGAAAATGGTGTTTCCTGTCTTTAGTATGAGACAAAGAAACAGTTGTTTGGAAAATGCATGTGAAAATCAGCACAGAATAGAAATGTCAGAAGTCAGAATATTTATATGTCCTGGTGACAATTTTGCATCAATAATATTTGGACTGATTCTTGCTTTAAATGAGAAGGAGCAGATTTGTCTATGCTTGTTAAAAGTTTCTTGCTAAAACTTCCTTAATTTCTCCTCTTTTTCTAATTTCCCTTGCAGTACATGGAGAAAGAAGATGCGGTTAATGTATTGCAGTTCTGGTTGGCAGCAGATAACTTCCAGTCCCAACTTGCTGCCAAAGAAGGCCAGTATGATGGGCAAGAAGCACAGAATGATGCCATGATTTTATATGACAAGTGAGGGAGTTACCAAGTCTTTTTTTCTGAATTTCTGATTTAGTGTTTGTGAACAATCCACTCTGAGGTTCATCAGTCATTCCCCCATCCATAAACTCAGTTTGCAGTGATGAGAGCAGCAGAGCAAACATTGCTTTGAAGTTCTGGATGTTTCCGGCTCTGATGCTGCTTCTTTGCATGAAGCTGTGTGTGTCAGATTCTGCTCTTAGTCACATGATGCTCTGCTGCTTTTATCTGGCTTCAGGGCAGGGCTCTGTCAGAACTGATTCTGGGAGTGAGGGGGTTCTCACCTGGAGTACCTGCAGGCAGTGGGGGGTTTCTCCCCTGGATTCATTGGGGTTTCTCCCCTGGATTCATTGGGAATTCTCACCTGTAGTACTTGCATTCAGTGGGATTTCTCACCTGTATTTACTGGGATTTCTCCCCTGTATTCACTGGAGGTTCTCCCCTGTATTAATTGGGAATTCTCACCTGTAGTACCTGTATTCATTGGGGGTTCTCCCCTGTATTCACTGGGGTTACTCACCTGTAGTACCTGCAGGCAGTGGGGAGTTTCTCACCTGTATTTTTTTGGGTTTCTTACCTGGATTCATTGGGAATTCTCACCTGTAGTACCTGTATTCATTGGGGGTTCTCCCCTGTATTCACTGGGGTTACTCACCTGTAGTACCTGCAGGCAGTGGGGAGTTTCTCACCTGTATTTTTTTGGGTTTCTTACCTGGATTCATTGGGAATTCTCACCTGTAGTACCTGTATTCGTTGTGGTTTCTCCCCTGTATTCTCTGGGGTTTCTCCCCTGCAGTACCTGCAGGCAGAGGGGCCCAGGTGTGTACACACTTTTGAGGCCAGAGCCATCTCGTGGCTGCAGTGTCCTTTGTGTCTGGGGACACAGGTGGGCACTGACCTCCCTCAAAGGTTTGCAAACCCTTCTGTGGTGTTTTCTTCCCCCTGCCTGGTGCTGTAGGTACTTCTCCCTCCAAGCCACACATCCTCTGGGGTTTGATGACTCGGTGAGGTTAGAGATTGAATCCAACATCTGCAGGGAGGGAGGTCCTCTCCCCAACTGCTTCACCACTCCCCTGCGGCAGGCGTGGACGACCATGGAGACGGTGAGGTCCCTCCTTCAGACCCTGTCTGACTGTTAGCAGAGGTGATGTGGAGGTTCTGTAGCATGGCAGGTGTCACCTTCAGCATCCCTGATTTGTCCTGTCCTTCTCCTGACTTCCTGTTTGCCTGGATAATAGAACAGCTTCAGCGGAATCTGCTAGACAGTTTTCCCCAGCCCTGTTTGAAGATACCACCCACAGGCTGCTGTTAATGCTCTGTGAAATGTTTGTCTCTGGTGATTATTGCAGTTTAATGGAAGTAACAGAATTTCCTCCCGTGTGAATTGCTATCAACAGCTTATTTTGTGTCTTTAGAAAATTTTCCTTCCTCCTAGAAGGATTTGTTTGCAAGTCTAATGCCAGTGCTGTGGCTAATAATGTAACTCTGGGATACCTGGATACTAGAGATGAATGATTTGATGCTGGAGATGCAGCTGATTTTGAACAGCATAGCAAAATACCTATAAGCCTTTTGGGCTGTCAGGATTAGTTTCTAGAAGGAAAAAAGTAAAATCTGAACTTCAGTTCCAGTTACTGGAGGATTTGGCTAATAGGCAGTTGGGTTTGTTCATGTGGCAGTGGGATTAAAATTTAAAGCAATGTAGTAAACTAATCCAGAATAATTCCATGTGTGGATACTTTTACTTGTGCTCCATCTACACAAGGACTGAGATGTTTGTGTGTCCCTTCTGTAGCTGTGCAGACCAGCCTTGATTGAAGGGCTCTCCTCTCTCTGTCTCTCAGGTTTTTTTACCTGGTTTCTTGTCCAGCAACCTTTACTACAAATACTTGAATGATCTCATCCATTCAGTACGAGGAGATGAATTCCCAGGAGGGAATATTGCACTGAGTATTCATGGCCATGGTAGCTCTCCTGACAGTGATTCCATAGGGGCCCCAGATGGCTCTGCCTCCCAGGTAGGAGTTTCTTGGTTTGATTCTGCTACAGCAAACACTGCAGTTGCTTTTCTGTGTCAATAACCAAGTTTGTTCACTGTAAGGAAAAATCCTGTAATTTGAAGCTTCCCATTCCTCTTTTATTTAGAGTCTGTGTTATGTTAGGATGTGTTTAATGTACCTGCTGCTAAGTTCTGTCTAGATATGGGCAGGGAAAAGTATTTCTGGTAGTTGTTATACCCAAAGCCTTGTGCTGCTCTGCATCAAAATTACATTTTTATTAAACTGTTGATATCACTGGTTACTGTTCCATGGTGCCATAACATTTAAGAAAGCTTTTTATTAGAAATAACATTTTATCAATGTCATAGTTATAACTTGAGGCAAAAATTGACATTTGTGATTATGCTATAGAAATTAAATATAGACCTGCAAGTTTTGTGTGCTCAGTTCTGTTAAAGTGCCAGATCTCCTGTGCTGAAGAGTAAACTCAGTTTTAGGGCTTAAGGCATCAATCTGCTCTATGACAGTACCTGACCAGGTGGTGCTCACTGGTTTGTCTCAGCAGAGATTGGACAGTGGAGCTTGTTACACTCTGAAACCATCCCAGTAACAGCAGAGATGTGTTTTTAACCACGAGTTATCTGTTCCAAAACCTCTAGCTTTGCTTCATTCAGATGAGAGAAGAGAGGATGAGCAGATTCTGCCTTACCTGTAACCAGGGCAGCTTGCAAAGTGCAAGCCCAGCTGAGAGCAGAAGAGCCAAGTGAGAGCTGATTCTGCTGCCTGTTTTACTGAACACTGCAGGGCCACCCTCAGCTTCAAATCCAGTGTCCAGACCAACATTACTGATCATCTGTGTTTCAAGCAACTTGGAAGCTCTGCTACCTGCTTGTAGGATTTTTAAACCTCCTAATTTGCAAGGAGGGAATATTCCTCCCCTAGGTGCAAAGTGGGGAATAAAATCTGTGTTCTGGAGATCTCCTGCTGCTTGATAGTCTGAGCAGGAGGAACTGCTGGTAATTGACTGGAGAGTGTAGGAACTGTACTGATCATCTGTGTTTCAAGCAACTTGGAAGCTCTGCTACCTGCTTGTAGGATTTTTAAACCTCCTAATTTGCAAGGAGGGAATATTCCTCCCCTAGGTGCAAAGTGGGGAATAAAATCTGTGTTCTGGAGATCTCCTGCTGCTTGATAGTCTGAGCAGGAGGAACTGCTGGTAATTGACTGGAGAGTGTAGGAACTGCTGCATTTCTTATCTGAATGGGAGAATCTCTGGATCTCTGCATATTTTTGCATAAAGAGCAGCACTTAGGCAGAGCAGCAGGAAAGGAGGGTGCAAGGCAGCTGCCTCCCATGTTTCTGTTCTGTGCTGAGGTGATAATAGATCCATCTCTGTGTGTTCACGCTCTCCTTACTGTTGCTCTGATGTTTCCTTGGCTCTTTTCATAATCTCATATAAATACTCCAGGTCCAAAGATAAATGTTTGCTCTCTGTGCATGGGGGAGGCATCTGTGTTTGGGAATTGCTTACCAAGTGCATGAGAGGGATGAGTGAAGCTGCTGCAGCTTTTCAGGGAGTTCAGTGTTAGACTCACAACAAGTGATTTGTGTGCACACATAGATCTGTTGGGCTGATAATGCTCAGGGAGAACCCTGACACATGTGTGTGCTGACCTGTGCAGTGTGCCCTTGGCTCTGTTCATAGAACTTTAAAATCACTGTCACACTGAGGTGGGAGTTTGTGGCTGTGTAGACATTCTGTAATTCTTTTATGCTTGCTCTGAGATTTGATGGAGGTTTATTTATCTAGGTGTAAAAGCAGTAAAATTGCAGTTTTGTGAAGAAGCTGTGAGTTCTCTGCACTGGGCACTAATGCTTAGAATTTTTATTTGTAGTCTAATGTCAAAAAGGCTAATGTTAAAATCCTGAAAAATTTTGATGAAGCAATAATTGTAGATGCTGCAAGTCTGGATCCAGAGTCTTTGTACCAACGAACATATGCAGGGTAAGGCTCATTCACTGCATCTCATCCTTTCTGGTTACATGTTTCACCTCTGTCTTGGTTTTTTTTTTTGCTGTGTCCTCCTGCATGGAGAGTGTGCCTAAACACTCTTAGTCCATGCCTTAATGTTTGACAGTAAATTTATTTCAGATGTGTGAATTAACTTATTTAATTTAGCTTCGTTAACTAATGCCATAGTGAATGTTTCTCTGACCAGAATGGCAACCAGGAAAAGATTTCCAATTGGTTTTTCTCTTTCTCCTAGTTATTATTCCTCTTGGATTCCAAAATACAGCCAAAGAGTTCCTGCTTGGGGTTGGAACAGAAAAGAATAAGCTCAGGCTCCTTTGATATTGTAATGTGCAAAAGGAAGTTGATTTCTCCCTACCCCCGTGGAGGAGAAGGGCTTATACTTCATTTCTTTAGCAGCTTGTACAGCTGCTCTTCTGTTCCTTGAGTTGCTCTTTGTTATCAAGCTCTTCTGCTCTGTGGATGTTTCTATAGCTACCTTGCTCTTTGATTGCACACCAGTCCCCTGTCCTTTCAGGTCCTCTAAACTGTTTCCTCCCTAATGACATGTTTTTGTGATAGTGCAGAGCACTTGCCTGCTCATAGCCCATGATTGAGTCACTGAAGCACTCACCTGCTTCTAGTTTCTAGAGGAATTAATTTAAGATCCTCTTCAGATGCATGAGAAGAACAGGAGGTTTTTCTCAGTGTATCCATTTTTAGGTGGTGGGTAGAATGTCAGTCTCCTGACCCTGGAGTCTTTATGGTGCTGACTTTTTTTGTTTTCCTGACTGGTGGCTTTTCATAATGCCAGAGTTCTCTTGGTAACCATATGGGTTTTTTTCTTCCTCCTCTCCTCAGGAAGATGACGTTTGGACGAGTCAGTGACCTGGGGCAGTTCATCAGAGAATCTGAACCAGAGCCTGATGTAAAAAAATCAAAAGGTTTGCTTTCCTCTTGCTCTCCATTTCTGTAAACATCTGCAGAGCTGCTCTTTTCTCCACTGCAGTCAAGAGAAGAAAGAATCTTGACTTCCCAGATCTGCTTTAAGTCAAGTGATGTTTAGGGGATCAACCTCTACTCAGGCAAAACCCATCTCTGGCCCAGTTTCCTATCCAAATTCTGCTTTTCTGCTCCAGCTGGACTCCAGGGAGTATGAGCAGCCTGTGGGAGTTGGAGTTGTTGATGGAACCTGGCAGGGATGGAAGCCACTAGCAGCTGAGCTGATGATCAAACCTCCAAAGCTTTGGTCTCAAGATGAAAAAACTGCAGCTCTCCACACTCTCCCACCCAGTGTGGGATCTGCTGTTAGTGCTGCTTTGCAGCTCTGGGAAAGAAAATGATTCAGGCTCAGTGTCCAGTGAACCATGGCTGTATGCAATCCCTTGTCTCCCACAGCACTCCTCTGTCCTTGAACACCAGCAGTGCAAACCCTGCAGAGGGATGACAGGAGTCAGCTTGGAGGGAGGTGTGTGCCACAGCTTGCTAATATCTCTTACTTGCTGTTTTTATCTCAACTAGGGTCCATGTTTTCACAAGCAATGAAGAAATGGGTTCAAGGAAACACAGATGAGGTGTGTTCTCTTTCATGTTGTCCTTGTGACTTTCTTTCCAGTGTTGATTAGGGTGATTAAGTATTGACATTCTCAGTCCTGACTGTTTCTCAGAGTATCTTTTTGCTGCACCAACGAGAACTGAGAGACTGTGTGTGCTAAATATAATTTGATTGCATGGATGTGTGAAATTACTTTGATCTGTGCCAGTGCTTTGCTGGTTTAGCTAATGGAATGGTTAAGTGTGTGTTTGCAGTCAGGGGATTTTCTTATTGTGGTGTTAAATATCTACAAGTAGGTGTAGAGGTTGTTTGCTTTTTATGGTGAAGTGACCACTCTACATGGATTACAAGTTGCATTTTTCCCCCCTCAGAGGGACTTGGATAAATCCCTAACAGATAAATCTAAAAACTTCACTAACTCTCTTGGAAATTGCATCAAGCCATAAATACAATCACTGAAGTTAACACTGTCCCTGGGAACCAGGTGCATTTCCACTGGATACATTTACTCTAGGTCACTGGCTTGGGAAGGTTAGCTATGACTCCAAGGCTGAGCATGTGCATGATGCAGAGAGGACTATTTTTATTTTAAGAACCCGAAGCTATGTGTATTTTGGTCTGGTTTCAGGCTCAAGAAGAGATGGCTTGGAGGATAGCAAAGATGATAGTCAACGACGTTATGCAGCAGGCACAGTGCGAACAGCCGTCGGAGAAGGTTACCAAGGTGAGGGGGTGGAAGCTGCTTGTCTCCCTCTGGCTCAGGCCAGGCTGTGGGAGGAGCAGAGCTCTCACTTGCCTTCCTCCTGCAGCTGAAACCCACACTGGGGAATGTTCAAACTAGCATGGCACGATAGGAAGAAACAAAGGTTGGAAGTGTTTCGGCCTACGTGTGATGTAGGAATTCCGTACCAGATGTCAGTGATGGTTCTCCTGTGCAAGCACTAAACTTGTCTTAGTTTGAGTCTGTACAAACTGCCTTAGTAGTCAGTAGGGTGATTTGTCTTGTAGAATCAAGAGTGGAATTCCTTATTTGAGGTCACACTTGCTGTTGCTTGTTAATATTGGTATATCTGCCTAAAATGTCAATAAAACTGAGCAGCTGGAGAGGTGCAGCTCACCAAGTTGACGTCTGGGACTTCAGGCTCTCAGACGTTTGACTTTCTAAGAATTCCCTTGCATTATGATGAGTTACTGGAGGTAAGCATGTGCCAGAGCCCAGTCCTTAGACCCAGGTGGGTGGATCCATAGTGTCACTATGTGACTGTTGTGTTTTTAATGGAGCAGTTAACATTTAAGTGACTTGTGTAATGATTTTACTTAATGGCTTGGCTGCAAATGATCTAATTCCAGGCTGGCTGGATGAAAAGGTCTCTCAGCACAGCATTTACAAATATCAAGTGGCTGCAGATGCTCTGGATTCAATTAAGCAAATAATCCAAAGGTTGAGTGAGTTGGGATTAGGTTTGGGTGTTTCTCTCCCACACTCAGACATACCTGGCTTCGACCTTTTCAAACACAGAATGTTGTTCTATTGAGCAATTCCCTTGTATGTTTTAGGGTAAAATGAACTCCTAACTCTGTTTTTCCTTTTTCAGCTATGATTTTAGAAACTCCAGAACAGGAAATCTGTTTTTCCACTTCAAGAGTGAGTGAACTTTCCCTTTTGGTGGATTCTTTAACACAGCCAGTAAAAACAAAGCACTGTTACTCCAACTGCCTAAATTTCCCTGGTTTGTAAGGATGAAGAGAAGTAATCCTGTACCTCCACTGTAGAGCCTGAAGAAACACTTGTTCTGTTGTATGTGGCATTCACAGCAACGATGGTTTTTAGAGATGAAGATGCAGTTTGCAAACGTGTCACTGAGAAACTGTGATTGACTTCACAAATACTTGACCCTGTCTCAAAAAGACTTTGAAGCAAAATGTCTGGAATGGGACACAGGCCCCAACAGGTTTGCTGTAGTTTCTAGTTCTACTACTTGTCGTTTTTGAACACAAAATTGGGGAGGATGTGGGGCACATCACTGCCATTGGCCACCAGAGGGATGAGCCTGGAAGGGTGGAGTCATTGGCAGTGAATGCCCTGAAAAGTTCTAGGTTTTATTTTCCATTACTTGAAATAGATGTGTATTCAACTGTAAGATAAATGTATTTTACTTCATAACTGCATTAACTCTGAAGGCAGCATAGGATGATCAGGAGTGAAGCCTGGACTGTGGAACTCCTCCTTGTCGTGCTCACACACCTGCACACACATACACATCCCATTCCCTGCTTCCAGCACTGAGCAGGCTCCACAGCTCTCTGCTCCCAGCCCAGGTTCTGAGCAGCTTGGCCCCTGCAGACTGCTCCTTTCTCTGTCCTCTCCATCCCCTGAGCAAGGAAAAAAGTAATTGCTGCCATTCTCCGTAGCTTGTTGTCCTCCAACCAACATAGTATCTAATTCCAGATGTTTGGTTTACAAAGAAAAACAATTTTTAATGACCTCTGGCCTTCTTCCTGACATTGTCAACACTTACCATGTTACACAGCACCTCTTCTTTTCCCAGTGAATTGATTTTGCAGGGGATCAGAAATACTCAGTGTCTCACTCTTATGTTACTGCTGCATTTTTAGTAGACAACACTTCTATTTTGGGTTTGTTTGGTTGGTTTTTTTTTACTCTGATGATTGCTTTTTTCCTCAAACTTGTGCAAAGGAATCACTCTGTGAAGAACTCAAATCATTTCCAATGTTCAGAATATCTTGATTGACTAGCAAGTGTTGCAATATTCAATTGTATAGAGACACACTGTATTGTCTATGAAAAAGCAAAAAAAAAAGGCTGTGTATAGTTTTTTGGTACTATGTACCACCTCTTATTTCTCTCATACCCAAGCATTCATGTACTTAAAACATACTATATTTAATTGTGTTTTGATTTAAAATATATAAATATTAAAATTTGTGTCAATTTTCTGTTTTCATGGAATTTGGAGTTACATGGAGACTTTTGAATGTGAGTCTTAGGGGGTTGTAAAAGAAACCAATCCTTGAGCACTTTGTAGCAGGGTAGATCTACACACATTTCTTAATATGCTTTGTTAATGGCAGTGTGATGAAATAAGATTAGTTCTTAGCTAATTATTAGATAAGAAGGTGTTTTAATCCCAGAACGTGGCAGAATTTGGGCTGGGAAAGGGGTGGAAGGGAAAGGGTTTTGGGCTTAGAATCATATAGAATCATAGGATCAACCTGGTTGGAAGAGACCTCAAAGATCATTGAGTCCTACCATGGGTAGGGTTGGACTAGATGATTTACTAGATGATTTACTAGGTTTACTAGATGATTTACTAGCCTATTGGCACTAAGTGCCACATCCAGTTTCATCTTGAAAACCTCCAGGGATGATCTTGTAGTGTAGTATGGAGCTGCACTTGTGAATCCTATGGGAAAGCTAACCTCTCACCTGTTCTGCATGTAGCCCTGGCTCAGTTTGCTCTTTGAGTCAGTGCTGCAGTTTTCCACATGCACAAGATCCAGACTAACCCGCGAGTGTTTAGGGATTACAGCTCACAGGTTTTGGGTATGGATATTGCACAGGGCTGCATTGCCTTAAGCTGTCACACTGCCTCGAGTGGACACGGCCAGACGGGGTATGTGAGGCTCTGCTTCTCTTGACCTGTCTCGGTATCAAACACCTCCGAGCTGTGCTTTAGACACGCGAGGGGAAGGAAGAGCCTGTGTTGGCAGCGCGGAACGTGTCGCACAGCAGCCTCGAACCGGGGG